GAACACTATATATATATATATATATATATATATATAAACATTTCCATCCATCAAGAACAAAAGAGGATAGAACCAAAACAGTAAAGGTGCTTTAAAAGGCAATAGCAGCAAAATAGGGAGGAGGGAGAGAAAAAGACGATAGGAAAGAGGGAGCGAGTGACACTGTTTGATCAATACATCCTGCGGAAGAGGAGAAGTATTGATCACACCCACAATTCACAATCCATCATCACTGAAGAAAAGCAGGATACATTTGCCATGCAGGATTCATACGTCTCATAACCAATATTCAGTAAACTCTCACTAATGTACAGTAGCTCTCTTTGGAACAGCAAAGTCTCACTCGGAATCATCAGCTGTTGCCATGGCAATTGTTGCTATACCTGTATATTGTACCACTGGTATATGCGTTGGTAAAATTGGTGTTAAGGTGTAAGGAATGAGGGTGTGCAACATGTGCGTCTTGAGTCTCTAATATAAATTGTACTAATTTCCAAATGATCAGCAATAGTGGATTTACGTAATTGAAATATTGATCTGCTTTTACAAATATGAGTCAATGACAAATAAGACTGTCCACCATAAAGAAAGAAAGAAAAAAAATCTAGTTTAAAACACATGACAAGTTTGTATTATCTGTATTGATGTATGTTGGTTTTATATGGCTTTAAATACATATATATATATATAACTTTTTATTTTTATTTGTTACAAATATGATTATTAATGAAAGAAATTTCATGAATTATCATTCATAATTATAATGAACATTTTGCATAAAAGATAATCTAATGAACTACTTTACAAGATTTTCTTTTCAAGAATTTCTTTTTTTTTTGTCTTTAAATCAGGACAGCTGTTTTACCCTGACATTTGTATGGATTTTCATGAATTTTATTCTGCATTTTAATTCAGAAATTAAAATCATGCTCATCATAGAAGAGGTGTATTCAAGTCTTTGTATGTATAAATTGCATGTTTAAATCTATTTTTAACAAATTAATAAATCTGGAGAAAAAAAAAATGCCATTGACCCATATGAAACAGTTTTGTTAACATATTAGACATTTTTGTAAAGAACAATAATAAAAGATAATCTAATGAACTACTTCACAAGATTTTCTTTTCAAGAATTTCATTTTTTTTGTCTTTAAATCAGGACAGCTGTTTCACCCTGACATTTGTATGGATTTTCATGAATTTTATTCTGCATTTTAATTCAGAAATTAAAATCATGCTCATCATAGAAGAGGTGTATTCAAGTCTTTGTATGTATAAATTGCATTTTTAAATCTATTTTTAACAAATTAATAAATCTGGAGAAAAAAAAAATGCCATTGACCCATATTCTAAAGGTTTGTTAATTCATGCTTAGCACATAAAGGCTGAAAACTGTGGCAGTGACTTTAACTCACAGGCTCCTGTTTGTCCATCTGGACGTCAGAATTTTTTGCAGGGATTTGGTCTGCTGAAATAACTGGTGCGATTCATATCTGCTTCATGTGTATTCATAGCATTCATATCTGTGTATATCATTATAGCTTTACTAAGCACACACGGAAGAGGACTTGGTAACCTCAATGAAGTCCTGATATAGTAGCTGCAACTAGAAAAAGAGACAACATCATAGACTCGGATATGATTGTTAGCTGCAATAAGATATGGGGCTTATCAAACGATAAGGATAACTGTTTTTGTTTTTTTTTGCTGGCTCCAAAATCACATTCCTCATCTTTCCTTCACTTGTATCACCTGTACTGTTTTCACAAACGGAAGTGCAGACATGTGACAGTGTTTGTAAAAGAACGTATTTCTCTGACTACTAGAAGAGAGAGACTTTCTTTTTCAGGTCGTTCCGCTTCCAAAGGGAGAGCCGGTCGAATTCCTCTATGGACATTCCAAAGACATTCTGGAATTCCTCAGGTGACAGGTGCCTCTGGAGAGAGAGGTTATATGGTCAACATTTGCCAGCAGAACAGTGCAACAGGCTAAAACAATGTCTACCTCCAGTCTTGTCCTGTCTACACCAGGAGGGAGTTTGTTTCTGCCTCGGTGAGTCACAAGGAGCATCTCATATGGGTAAATCTGCCAAACAAACACATAGATTGTGCAAAAACATGCAATGAAGCTTGAATTAAACTTGGATGAACACAAAATAATCTTAACTAGTTGGTAGATGATATGTTTACTTTACCTTTTGTTCCAGCATACTAGGGAGTGAATTCCCTCTGTC